ACATATGCAATATCTTAATCAATAAAAAATATATTAAAAAAGTAATAATAAAAACTGCTGTAAAAAAAAAAAAAAGGACTGGAACCAAAATGTAAAACTATTACTATCAAGTGATTATGTTTGAACTAGAAGTAGCACCTTTGAGGAAATGAGGGCAGACCAAGTTCAGTGAAAGCAATGATCCAAGGGCTTTACAACCAGTATCTCATTTAGCTCTCAACAATCTCAAAATATTACTATCTTCCACTAACTCTGAGAGAGATCGAGTAATCTGCCCAAGGTCACACAGCCAATTCAGGATGACAACTGGATTTGTTTTTTTGGACAACTGGATTTTAAAATACAGATCTGTCTGTTTAAAAAGACAGTGTCCACAGTAGTACTCATACGTTTTTTAAATCTTGAAAAGTATTGTTTGTTAACTGTTTATTATAAAAATCCTGTATGCACCATCATTCAAAATTGTCCTTATTTAGATGACAGTATGTGCAAAAAAAAGCAGAGAGGAAAAAGATGATGTATGAAATGCATGTCTTTAGTGTAACCCTACCTGGAAGGGTCAGAGAGGAAGGAAATGAGTATGTGGGGAGCAGACTAGATCTAATTCATACAATACCAGCACCATCATCCCTGAATTATAAGGTACTTCACAGTTTTACAAAATGTTGCAGAAGACATGTATTCTATACATTATGGAAAAGTAACCTAAAAGAGTTCAAGGTCATGAGCATCCCTTCAATTTATCTTACACACAAAAGATAACAATTTTATCATTAGCAATTTATCACATCATGTGCACACGCAGATATACATTAACAGTAGAATCACTGCTTTCAAATGATTGGTCCAAACTAATACATCTTCAAGTAAATTTGAGAATGTCTTTGAGAGGACAATTGCATAAGATCCAAAACAATGAATGAGCCTCATTTGAGGGAAAACCCCAACCACTCAACCCACCATGCTAAGTCCCCGTAGCAACATGGCAGGATTCACACGTCCGAGGTGAAGACAGCTGGCATTGTCTGGAAGCTGGGACTCTTCCCACACGATCATAGTTGTATCCTCCCCCTGCCTTACTCCTATTTTCAGGGTGACTTCTGACAAGTCACAACTTCCAGATGTTTCATTTTCCTTAACTGAAAAAAACTAACCATAACTCATGTCCTTTTCCTGTTTCACAGAACCCTGAGGTTGGCACTCATCATCAAGAGTTCTGTTTTGACCATATTAAGTTGAGAATTAGACATTAACTTAAGGGGAAGTGCTCCCTCATCACAGGAGCCCAATGCCTTTCAGCAAGAATAACAAAAAACAGCCTACACAACAGGATAAACAGACGTTCACTTAATGATAGAAGGGCCGAACAATTAATGGTTACTTCAGAGAAAATCTAAGGAAGGGCAGAGAACTGTCCAGGTGAAACGGCAAATCATCCGGGGAAGTGTTTTCTTCTCCTGGGGCCTGAGGAGCCTGTCCCTGAAAATATCACATTCTGCAAAGAACCGAAAATCCCACGGGACCTGGAAATTAAAACTACTGCAAAGCACCGCCCAAGGCTTAACACGGGACCGGAACCCGTGGGAGAGAGAGGCATGTTTGATTTTTTTCACCAATCTAATTTTTGAACATATAATTCACGTTTCAACAAATAAGCAATAAAGGAAGAGGGAGGAAGTAAGAATCCTCACTCTTATCAGGTCCCCCATCGAACTGACTGTAAGCCCTCCTGTAAAATGATCATCTCCCCCCCGCCCCCCCCCGCCCAAAGCTTCTTGTGTATCCTGAGTTTTTGATCAAACATATGGAAACATCATTATATAATACTAGTGGCCCGGTGCACGAAATTCATGCACATTAAAAGGGAATTAATTAGAGGAAATATTTTAATATTGCTATTTGCCCTTTCTCTATAATAGAAGTGTCAGAGATGAAAGAAAATTAGTAAAATGTATATGAAAATCTCCCTCCTGTCAGAGTCTGAGGTGCACTGTGGGACCCAGAGTTAAGTCCCCGCCCACCTGCAAGCACCTCGAAATCGCATGAGACCCAGACCCGGCCGGCCCCACCCCTGTCAAGCCCCGCCAGGTGGTGGTGGTGGTGGTGTGTGTGTGGGGGAGGGGGGGTCGTGGCCTCAGGTCCCCCGGCCCCAGCACAAGGGCACGAGGGCATGATGACCATTTGTATATTAGCTCTTTATTATACAAGATTTTTCTAGCCGAAACCGGTTTGGCTCAGTGGATAGAGCGTCAGCCTGCGGACTGAAAGGTCCCAGGTTCGATTCCGGTCAAGGGCATGTACCTGGGTTGCAGGCACATCCCAGTAGGAGATGTGCAGGAGGCAGCTGATCGATGTTTCTCTCTCATCGATGTTTCTAGCTTTCTATCTCTCTCCCTTCCTCTCTGTAGAAAATCAATAAAATATATTTAAAAAAAAAATTTTCTACTACTTTTACATAAATGATAGCATAGTATACAACCTATTCTGCGCCTTGCTTTTTAATTTATCTTGAAGCTATTTCCCGGAATGCCTTCTTCTTTTTTTAAGACTATAAAGTATTCCATCAAATGAATGAACCATAATCTAATCAACCAGCCCTCTACTGAAGGGCACTGGTAAAACATTACAATTTGCAAAAATACCTTCATTTTGTTAAATAAGCGTTCTACTACTTGTTTAACAGCTTTAGATATCATTTTTTAATGAGGAAATCACCTTATCATCTTCTTTCCCTCTTCCTCTTCCAATGTTTGTTAGTTACCAGAGCACTTTTGTTTTCTTCCACTCTAAAGCCCACTTTAATTTTAGGTTCAGCTCTAGAACTAAATACATTCAATATTCAAATCCTTTTGCCATGGCTTCCCCAGTTATCTTTTGTTTGGTTAAGTTCATCCTTTAGTAGTTTCTTCAAGAAGGGCTCATGAAAACAACCTATCTCATAAACAGTATATTCTTGAATGCTCAAAGCTTTTCTTGCCCGCTCCCCGCCCCTCCCCGCGCCCGGGCCGCACGGGCAGGGACGCGGCGCCCTGTTACCTGCCGGAGGGCAGCGGGCGGTGGCCGAGGGTCTTGGCTCCGGTCCCCTCTTCGCTCCCAGTTGGCACCAACCACCCTCGCCTCCCCCGTGAAGCTCCGGCCACTACACCCACAGTCTTCGGGGGTCTGGTCCCTCCGCCACCATAGAGACGGGTCCGGAAGCCGGACAGAATGCCAGCCTGCGGCCCGCCGACGCCACCACCGAGGCGCACGCACCCGGAACCGAGGTAGAGCGGCCGGCCGGGTGACGCTCAGGCAGGCGCCATCTTGAGTGTGGGCGCCGTGCCCACCCGCCACTCCCTCACCGCGCCCGGCAGCCTGTTGGGTTAGGAACAGAGCTCCTCCATTAGCTCTGGCGTTAAATACGCAAGTTCATCTTGATAGTAACGTTCAGGCTTTTGACCCTGAGTTTTCATTTGATTTCCGCCCGAATCAAAAATGGCCCCCAATCGCTTCTAACAAATAGCAAAAGGGCGGAGCGGAAAGAAGGGGTGGTGGTGATTGGGGTGACGTCACGAGCGCCGCAGCTCTGATTGGCCGAGCCGCGTGGCCCGAAGTGGTGCATTGGAACGGTGGCTGAGCTCTGCACAGGGAAGTCTGAAGTTACACGTAATTCAGTAAGGAGTCAAATGGGCACTATAGGACCTGTAATGAATATTAATGGTTTCTACTGACTAGGCTGTTGTGAGAATAAAGTGAATGTACGTAATAGTTTTAAAACGACATGACTCGGTGTAAATACAATCTATTTTCCCTGTTGTCATCTGCATGGTCGTGGTCATCATCATTCCTACTCAAGGCGTCTACAGCTTCACAGGTGACAGCTGACCCAAAGCATCCCATCATCTAAAACGTTTAGGTTCTTTCTAGTCGCTAACAGTAGCTGAAACTTTTAGATAAAGGAGCCCACAGTTTTTCAAGTTAATTGAAAGCAACTATCAGACTAAATGTTACCGCTTATTCAGAAATGTATTAAATACTTAGAAGGAGGCAGACACAAATAGCATTTAATCTGTCCTAATAGTTTGATGAAGGCCGAGTTGTGTACTAGGTCAGTGCTGCCCTATAGAAATAGAATTTGAGTCTCATAGGTAATTTTAAATTTTCTAGTAGCCACATTAAAAACAGAATGAAGGTAATTTTAATATTGTTTTAACTAAGTAGATCCAAGAAGACTGTCATTTTCACATGCACTCGATATGAAACATTGAGATTCTTTACATTTTGTACTATCTTCAAAACTGAAGTTTATTTTTTAGAATTTAGACTAGCCATATTTTCATGCTCAGTGGTCACACATGGTTTGGTGATTACCACGTTGGAGAGCACAGTTCTAGAGGCCCGACCATCACTTTGCACTAGAAAGTTGAGCAGCGGAAGTACCACTGCTGGGAGGCAGGACTGTTATCACTGTGGTGGTCAGCATCAGCATCTGGCAACCAGAAATCTTCGAGACCAATGACAGAGCTAGGACGAGGCCTCAGATGGCATCTCCATAGGTGGAGGTCTCCTTGAATGTTTAGACACTGTTTATTCAGGAGTACAGAACCTTTTCTAAAATATGTTGAACAAATCACCTATCTTGAATTCTTTTTAGACCTCATTTCTAATGTACATTGTGATTATAAGATGTTAATTTTGCCAATAAAAACCCATTTCTAATACTATGATAATTAGTAAAACATCTGGTATCTTCAGAGATCAAGGTGGTTAAAGTATTTGTAGCTCCCTCTCAGGAACGTGGCCTTTCTGGTATGATGCTACTAGCTACCCCTGGAGTGTGCGCTCTGATTACTAGAATGCTAGCTGCCTCTATGGTATACCTGGAACCAATTAAACCACAGAGAACTTCACACTGCCTATGCTGAGCAAATTTAAAGTCAACCACAGACATCGTGGCACCCATGTTGCTGTAAGAAAGATTACCCTGTGTTTTAGACACTATAAATGTTCTAGAACTTGTAACCTCATGTTACAGACTATGTTTATTCCACAGGCATTTAACACACACCCTTTCTGTGCCATGCACTGTGCTGACCACTAAGAAAAGAAGGAACAATTATTACAGAAAAGTGGGTAGTTTGAGGGGCCCAAATAAAGCTCTCCCCCACCTTTTTGTTTAAGGGGTTGAAGATGGGCTAGTACCGTAGTCCTAGGAATGTTATTTTAGTTTTTCAAAATGCCTGCCCCACACTAATGTTTAACTACTGCTACTGTCTGTGGATCTGGACCTGAGCTAAATGACTCTACATTTTCCCTGACATTCGCTCCTTGTTCATTGTGAAGGACTCACTGTGCGCCAGCTTCCACTCTACAGACAAGGGAGACACCAGCACAAAACAACTTCCCTGCTCTCAACAGACCTCACATCTTGGGGGTTAGAAGGACAGAGAGACAATAAGCATACAAATGAACAAAGATAAGTTCAGCTAATGTAAATTCTATGAAAAAAATAAAACAAGTTAATGTAATAAGAATAACACACACGTGTTTAGTACTTACTGTGTTAGATACTTCATATGATGTTCTTCCTAAATCACTTTGAAATTATATGTGGGAAGTTAAGCTTTAGCATGTCTGCTTTGTCTTTCTATTAATGTCACTTATTATGTGTATTTAATCTTTGTCCATATGACAAATAACAAGGCAAGATGCTTAATGTTGAGGTTACTGGGTTGGAAGCAGGGAGACAGATTATGTCACTGGCCAAATAGATAAACTTGGGCAAATCATTTCATCTCTCCTGGCCACAGTTTTTTCAAGTGAAAGAATCTGACAGGGTTGCTTTTAGGGCCTTTTCCAGTTTTAATATTCTATGATTGAAATAGAAACTAAGACAAATGTATGTTTTCAGAAAGATCAATTAGGTTGTAAGTTCAAAGACACAAATCATATTTCAGAGTTACATATTCCCTCAGAAGTATCATATTCTTAGACATAAGCAGTAGTTTAAAAATCTGTTGATTATATTGAACATTTTTATGTGATTGGTTTCTCAAATAGGTAGATAGACTGAGTTATTTCAAAGGCTCTTTCCAGCTCTACTGTTCCTTAAATATAAATCAAGCCAATAAACAGTGCAGTAGATCTATGAGATCTAAAACTCAAGGACAGAAGTTGTCTTTGATCTATGCATTCCTTTCAAAGCCTTACATAATTCCTTCCACAGCAAGTGCTCAAGGAAATAGCTACAGATTATTGCTATTTTACTTGCTTAAGTAAATTTTAAGCATTATAACATTGAGCTATTTTCAAAACTCATGATTAATTATAAAGTCTTTCCATTTCTTACTACCTAAATCTATCTTATAACAAGGGAACAAATGGGAAACAAGTATCTTAGTGAGCAAAATATTGTTCTTAATTTTCCTCGAGAGGAAAATTAGCTTTTCCATACTTTAAATTTCACAAATCATAAAATTTAAAAGCCCAATACTAATCTAGTTTCATGCATACTAATAGATGTCCCAGACTTTCTATATTAAAATCAGAAAGACATGAATGCAAAGGGTTGAAGAGACTATACTCATATACAACATATGGCATATGTTCCATTGTTAATTGAAAACTCATAGTTAATAACTCTGGGAAGCAACCTTTCAGGCACATGGCATAGAATAAAAAGGTGACGTCTTTTTATAAATTTTCAGGGAAGCATATGCCGCATGAAATACTCGAGAGTTTACAAGGGGGGAAAAGAGGCAGGGAAAAATAAAATTCATATGCACCCTATATAAGCATGTAACTCCTAATGAAACACACTAAATAGAAACACATGACTTTCTCTAATTCATTTGTACTTTATGTTTCTTTTTAATAGAAATTAAATTAGTCACTTAGTGTACATAATGTAGTGTTTGTTTTCCAGTCTAGTTGCTTTTCAGCATCCACTTCTGAGTCTCAAGGGAAATGTTATCCAGCATCAAAATATGGCTCGATGATGAACAGTGTCAAGCATTCACTCTACTTAACAGGGGACATAGGGTTGCAGCTAACCTGCAGCTAACAACAGGAAACAATAAAAACAAGCACAGACCTGCAATAGCATCAACATGCATTATTAGCTCAATATTCCAAGTCAACCCAACCCACACAGGTTTCTTCTAAGCTAAGAACACATATGGAAAGGGATGACTTTATCGAGATCCGTAGCCATAGTAGTAAGGTTCATCAGGGCGGAATCCATACGCTGTGGCTGGGCGTCCAAGAATGCCAATGGGCTGGCCAAAGCCATCCATTCCAAGGCTAGAAAGAGAAAAAGAAATATGTTATATTTTTCATCACACACCCACAATGCAGGTCAAGTAAGAGGCCTGGAATTTACACCTTCATGATTCTCTTCCTCGTAGTGGAAGTGGTTGATGTGGATATTACCAATCCTTTAAAAAAAACCAATATAGCCATAAAATGTATATGATAAATATTCACTTCTAATGCAGTGCGTAAAAAATGTTGGGAACCACTGTTATCCGGGTAATACCATTAAAGATAAAGAGGAGGAAGATCAGAAAAGTGTCAATAAGTTACATGCATATATGGCTTTTATGCCAGAATATGAAAAGATTTTACATGTTAGCAATGATCAGAAATACAATGCGAGGGAATGCTAAAACTGTAGAAAACTGAGTTTTGCTGTTTATATTGAGATCTCCTTCATATGAAGATGTAGGACTGATCCACTATTATAAGGACAGCAGTTTGATTTTCACTTAGGGCCAAACTGCACCCTAAGCATGTGAGTTGAGGAAGAAGACAGGACATTTTATAGAATTTCAAAGTGAGCCGGATTTGATCTGCAATCCTTCTTCTGACTCCTCAGTGCAAACATTTACTTAGTAGTACATGTTTGAGTAGCAGAAAGTTAACTATACATTTTGATTCAATTTATTCCATGGAAATAGAAGTCCAAAGATAACCTTCAGTTATAAAAACAACTTGATAATGGATGACTTTGAATACTACCTTAAACAAATTATTCATCCATTAGTAAACTATTTAGAAGAGAATCTGTTCTCCAGAGCACCTTTTAAGGTTCAGAGAATTACCCAACACTTAGCAAAATCACGAGCTTTGCCAGGCAGATATAGCAGCTACAACATGCTCATGCACAGCTCATGCAGTGAATGCCAGTGAGCTCGTTTCCAATAAAAGGAAAGGGTTTATAATGCAGAAATGTAAGCTCTGAAAAAAAGTACATTTAAATGATTTAAGATCATGTTATTAGATGGAAAATACTTTTCTCTTATAAGCAAAATCTCAATATGATTAAACAGTATATCCAAATAGCCACTAACTTACTATCACAGTTCAAAATGAGATGAAAACACTTTATAATTTAAAATACCAAGGTATTAAATAGTGTGTGTGTGTATGTGTGTGTGTGTGTGTGTGTACTGGGATAGGACTTAGAGCTAAATGTGGAGTCATAATACATATAGGGCATATTAGTCGTGTGCATCTACCTCCCAGGGGAATGGAATTTCTGAAATGTAAGTCTAGGTTAGTATCTATAATGAGTGATGCTGGATAAATCAAACTTTTGGTCTCCATCTATAATTTCTGAAAGTTGACTGAAATTTTTAAGTTTGAATTTTATCTTATAATGGCAAAATATTAGCACGCCCCTTCTACCTTGGTCCTATGGGAAGATTAAATTTTATGATGAAGAGAAATATTAGTCTAAAGGCAGCTGTTAAAGATGTCTCAGAAACTAGTGGAGTCCATGAGCTCAGCTGTACCTGTTATCATTTTAGAATCAGAGGAAAATTGCTGTAGAAATTTTTCCCCTGAAGCACTAAGGCTAACAAATATGTATCTGAACAACTCTCCACCATATAAAGAGTGATGGGATAGCTGTGGCTTTCAACTCCTTCCTTTTTCATCTTTGTACTTACGCCACTCCCTACATATTTTAGCATCTCTTCTGAGGCCAAGCAGCAGCAGACTTAGGTTAAACTCAACTTAATGTTGTCTTTGTTTCTCAGTCTAGGGGCTGTGGTGAGATCTCTTTCAAAAACTTGGAAATGAGAAGCACACAGCAGATCAGTGAAGAATTGTACAAAAGCACCTTGAACACTGAACCTCTCACAGAACCGTGACAATATGACCGATTCTATCCAAAGGAGGGGGAGGCGCTTCAGAAGGCAGTTTGCCCACAAGCTCCTGAGGCAATGCTGGTAGAACGAACCCAAGCCATTTCTTGGGGGGACCTCTAACCACACCTGACTGCTCTGACAGGCTTGTCCTCAGTGAGGAAGGAGCCTCACTAAAGGCTCTGAGAAGCTGAGGTCATTATACATTCAAACTGCAAAACCTTCCATTTTTTTCTTTCTATGACCAATAGGCAAACTTCGGATCACTGTTTCCTCATGGGGCTTGCCAACGGGTAAAGAATAAACAGACAACTGATTTGCCTGATGTTTTTTCTTTCCATAGGAAGGTGACAGGTGGGTATTATGTCTTTTTGAAATGTCAGTCACTTTGCTGGTAAGAATTTGCACCCAGTCAGTGAAAGTAAGATGTAACCTAGAACTGATGAGTTTGTTTCTGAGCCTGCAGGTTTCCTGTTTACATGGAGACATCTCTGTGTAGTACAATGTCAAGGACAAAACGTCTTGACTTTCCATAGGAGGAGGAAAATCTGAAGCCACCTCTATTCTTTTGGGACATGTGGACATTTATTTACTCTTTCTCCCATGGGAGTCAACAGTATGAAAGGCACTAGCATGCTCTCACAAGGGACCCTGAGGACCAAGGAAGACGAAGCTGTGAGATGTGCACCTGCCCTTGCTGGTGTGACTGTTCTGCTTCAGGTAAGTGCATGTAGTTGGCTGTTTATACGGGACCTTTATCCCGCACTGCATGTGTGTGTCTGCATGTGCATGTCCTCGTCCTGGTACTGCTGACCTGCACACAGAAGCGGTGTGTCCCTTTAGATCAGAATAAGTACAACTAGACCACTCTTCCTTTCCAGGACTTGTAATATAGTGTCATCTGACCTGCACCCTCAGGTCTAGATATACTCTGGAACTTTAAATTAGAAAAATACCAAAATGCAAGATCTCTTCTTGAAAATATATAATTTTGGTTCAATGAAAATGGTTACTATTTGTTGTGAAAAGACAACTAGGAAAGGTGAGGGCTCCAACCCCACCTGCTATTAAGTTTAATGATCCAGGAACCAAGACTTTGGGGTACCCAGACAGGAAAATATCAAATTCTTCATAAACAAAACATGTATATTTAAAATCCAAAAACAAATATAAAAACTACACCTAGGTTTTACTTTATAAAAACACTTAGAGCTCTTATTAGCAGTCAGCAAGCAGGAGACTCAATTTCCTGTAATATTAGCAAGGCTTCAAATACATTTTTAACAGCATTCATCAGAATTCTAAACTCGAGATGATGGGGGGAGGGGGACCCAGACATGACAGGTGACGCATCACATGCAGCACAGTACACGGGGACAGCAGCCGGGAGCAGCCCCAGGCCCTCGGACGCTCTCACTGAACTTTGGGCCAGAGCTGACATTCCCAAAGAAAGGGAGGAAAGCCACCTACCTCTGGCTGTTTGGGAGGTTTAATTAGTGCATGTTTGTAAAGCACTTTGAAATCCTTGGATGAAAAGTGCTGCATAAGTGAAAAGTATTATCGTTATTTTATTAAAATCAGATAAAAGCAATGCAAGACTTTTTTTTCCTTCTTTGAAATTCCCAAGTAAGCAAAATGAATGCAGAGTAAATAGTGAATAGATTAGTGGATGCTACAAAAGAAAAATTCCAGCCATGTTCTCTTTCACAGAATCTTTGTTGGACACATTTCCAGAAATCAGCTATCATCTACACTTTCATCCACAACAGCATCCTTAACGGGGTCTGTCCCATTCTCGTGGGAACACACCTGAAATGCAGGTCTCACTCCACTGTGGAGGCAGTTCATGCCACGTCAGATGGTGAGGAAGTTCCTGTGACACCGCTTGGCATTCTGCTTCTATCAGTCCTAGATTTGCCCTCTGGAGCCACATGAGAAGTCTTATTCTTCTTTAATATCGATTTTACAATTCCTGATTAATCTTTCCTCATGATATGGTCTCTAAAATCTTTACCACTACATTTGCTCTCTAAAATGTGAGAGTAGTCATGGTTTTTAAGAAGGGGAACAATTTACTTCTGTTCTTTAGAGGGATAATTGTGGTAACAAAAGGCGTTGAGAGGCAAGAGCACGGGGAACATTTAAGAGCATATTATGGCTGTCCACACGTGAAGTCATTAATGAGAGCCGGGAGAGACACTGGCAGAAAAACAATGATAAAATACGCTATATTTCAAACCAAAAAAATAGTATTTTTTTTCTTTTAAAATGTGTATGGTTTACTATTACTATTTGGGAACTGAGAATCAAGGGAAAGAATATAAAAATTGGCTGAAAATTTTAGAAGTTATAGTTAATTGGGAACAAGACAAATTTTGCCCCTTCAATATGGGAATATGCTTCATGAAATAACTAGAGGCTGTGGTATTCCACATAGATGAAATCAGTAGTTTGCCTCTGTATTCAGTAGAAAGGGCTGGATTGTTCTGGCAGAAGTGAACATTTTTTTCTTGACATTCTTATAAACTAGAGGCCCGCTGCACAAGTTCGTGCACAGAGAAGGGGGGGTGTCCCTCAGCCCGGCCTCCACCCTCTCAAAATGTGGGACCCCTTGGGGGATGTCCAACTGCTGGTTTAGGCCCAATTCCTGCGGGATCGGGCTTAAACTGGCAGTCAGACATCCCTCTCGCAATCTAGAA